GGGATTTGCCATTTGTCCAGTCTCAAAAATTAGTTTAATATGGGTTAAACGATTGGTATTATTTTTAATCCAAATTTATATACACTAAAGTAAATTCTTTCTAGAATTTTTTTACTAAAAAGGAAATTAAGAAAATATCTAAAACAAACAAAAAATTTTTGTTTTTTATTTTTATTTTTGTTTAAGGCAAAACTAAGAGAATTTAAAGATTAGAAATAAAAGAAGAAGGATAAAATAAAAAAGTAACTACACAAATTAAGAGCGACCACCTTGAAACAACAACCCTTAATTCTAGGATTAAGCCTAAACTCAAATAGGTCAGCTTCTGACCAAAAACTCCTTGAGTGAGAAGATTAAAGTTTACTTGGTCAGTTATCCAGGTAAGGATAGTACTAGAGGGAGGTCAATGACCAATTAAGTATATCTTTCCTTACGAAGCGCTTTACGTAACCCCTAAACCTTGTCTTAGATGCCGACAGGTTCAAATAAACTAAAACTAGTTTACTTAAGGATTTCGTGTTCCTTAATGGGCTGGAGTTCCTAGAGGCCAACGTCTAATGAGTTTAAAAAGTCTTGGATTTGTGTAGTGAGGAATTAGTGACTTTTAGGTTAAGAAAAAAATAATAAAAGCTTTCATCTTACATTGACTATGTGTTTTATCCTTAAGGTGCCGTTTGGTAAAGGGTTAAGTGAGGGGTTAAGGAGACTTAACCCCTTCTTAACCAGTCAAACATAAAATATTTATATAAGGGTTAAAGTGAGTTAACCCTCTATAATTTGTCAAACACAAAATATGTAGAAAGATTAAGCTAACCCCTCTAGAGGGATTAAAATGAGTTAACCCCTCAAAATGAGGGGTTTACTAATACTCCTATTTAGAATGGTTAAAAGCTAACCCCTCTAATTATAAAGAAAATAGTCAGAATCCTTGTTATTCCCAAACACTAAAAATAATCATAAGGGTTAAAATAAAATTTATATAACAGGTTAATAATTTAGTCTTTCAGATTATCAAACGGGCTAACTATATTAATCTTTCTCTTTAATCCTTCTTCCTTAACCCTTTGCCAAATGGGGTTTAAGAGTATTTTCAAGTGAGTTTCAAATTAAAATGCTCAAATCACTTGGGTGAATTCTTAATAAATATGCAATGCAAATCTAAGATTAAAAGTAACTGTAAAAGAATGTAAAAATAAATCTTTTTATTTTTTAATTAGGGTTAACAATCAAACAAATGTGAGAAAGAGATATCTTATTTGAATTTATTATCTTGTTAGTACTTGTTCAAGTGGAGAGTGGATTTTATTAGGGCCAACAAGGAAAAAAATTATTTTTTCTATTAGTTCCTAATCGTCTTTAATATGAAGAGCCTAAATTAGGGGCCGTAATTGAAAATACTAGAAAGAGAACTTATCTTTTCAAGAAAGTCTTCAATCTTCTAGTCAATCCTTTACACTTAAACAGACAAACCAAAGAATAAAAATAGAAAAATCCTAATTACAAGTGCATTCCCAGCAACGGTGCCAAAAACTTGATAGGGTCATAATAAACATGCACTAGAGTTGTAAGAGGATGACTATTAAATTAGAGTATAGTTACAATATCGATCCCACGATGAAGGTGTATAAGAAAAAAAATCTAAATTAGATCCTAGAAATGTGTGTGAATAAAGAGGAGCGAGAGTGTAGAGATATAGAGAGTGTGTGATTATTTGCAAATAAAAAAACTAGAATAAGAGGGGAGAAAGAGAGTGAAAAAATAAAAGAAAACAAAGAGTGAACAAGGAGAAATAAAGAAAATAGAAAAACTAATATATATTTATATAACAATATAAATATCTAATGTAGTTATAAGTATATTTTTATGTGTATATTATAGAATTACAGTTATATAAGTATATATAAGTGCATAAGTATAATTATATATAAGTATATTGCATCTAATATATTTAAAAGTATATCATATAAGTAAACTTTATAACTGTACTTAAATAAGCATAATGTAAGTATGTAACAAATACATATATAACTATATAATACGTATTTATAAATAAGTAATATATATTTATGTGATTCCCTAACTCTCTCATGTTATAACTTATAAGTGTATACAATATATTTACATATAATATATGTATATATAATATGTATATAAATACCTTAGCATCCTGATATATATATATATATATATATATTATATATCATATATATATAATATATATATATATATATTCGCAGAGAGAGAGAGAGAGTAGAGCAGAGAGAGAGGATTAACCATGAAGTATCCTTGTCATAGGAGGGGATTTCCTCGCTTGACGCCTCTAAACTCATATGATTGAGCGACATTATGGATGATCCCCGCTCCGTTGGAACTTGATCTACATATTCTAAAAACCGCCAACACACGGTCTCATTTAAGTTTTTTGTACCAATGTGTGATCCGTCATCTCGTTGATCCTCTCATCGAGTCATGTCGTGAAAGAGTCTTATCATGTGTCATTAGTAACGTTATATATTGATACGAGTGGAGTCGAGGGTCAAACGACGTACGGGTTCACCCAACTTTGGGTGTGTTGGCGTTTATAATTATGTAGATCAAGTTCAACGGAGCGATCATCCACAATGTTCGCTCAGCATGTAGTTAAGAGGCGTCAAGGAGGATCCCTCCTATGGACAAGGTATCCCATTATCTCATATATATATAATTTTATATTTATAAATTATATATATATATATTGTTTTATAATATAATATATATATATATATGTTATATGGTGAAAGAACCTGTGTCAGTACTTTAAGTGGATAGGGATAAGTGTGTTCCAATGATTTCTCAAAGTTTTTAACCACTCGTACTAGTGTCTCGTTGTATTAAATTAATTTATAATGTGTTATTTTTAATATTTATATTAATGTGTTGGCAGTTAACTTGGGGACATCACTATTAGTGAGTAGGAGTTGCCTATATATATATATATTTTATTTTATTCTAATATTCATATTATTATGATGACGAGAGAGATGAGAGAGAGATGATTGTATAGAAGGAGAGTAGAGATATTAATGTATCCTTGTCTATAGGGTGATTTCTCGTCTATAGGATCGTCACGTTCTCTAAATATCACAGGATTGAGGCTGATTTATTTGTGTGATGATTAGCTCGTGAACGTTGATTCTAACATTATTACTTATATATACCCACATCAAGTTGAGGTGAATCTCATCTCTTGTATTTCCCCTGTTTCTTCCACGTACGTAATTCAGTTTTGATTGTTTTTTGAATGATAAGACTGTTCATCTTAGTGGCTTGCTTGGAGGTTCAAACTTGACGCACTATGACATTTCACGAATTCTTGGTGTGTTGGTGTTTTTAGAATATGTAGATCAAACGGAGGGATCGCATCATAATGTCGCTCAATCGATGTGATTTTAAGGAGGCGTCACCAGGAGGAAATGCCCCTCCTATGACAAGGATACTCATTAATCTGCATATAATATTATATATATATATATATATATATATATAATAATTATATATTATGATTATATATTATATTATAATATATAATTAGTTCATAATAGTTATTATTTATTATATATATATATATTAATGTAGTTTATAAGTTACTTTATGGTAGTATTATGAAGAATATAGTTTAATTATAAGTATTAATATAAGTGCAATAGTATAATATAAGTATATACTATATATTGCATCTAAGTATATATAATTAAGTAATATCATAATGTTAAGATTTTGTACTAAATGTATAACTTGTATCTCTTATATATAGCTATATTTATTTTTAGTCTGTGTTTGCATTATTTATGATGTGACGATATTCTAAAATCAATTTATAATTATAATGATTTAGACTGGTTATATAAAGATATTTATCATATAATTTCTATTTACTTGGTATTTGTAATTATATATTAGTGTTATAATCTTATTGTTTTTATCAAAATTTATTTATTTTTTTTTTGTATTCTGTAAAAATAAAAGAAATTAAAAAAAGAAAAAAGAAAAACCGCACGGCCCGGTTGAGCGCTGGCACCCGGGTTTTTGGCCTTGTCCGGGCCGGTTGCTGGCCGGCCCCGTTTGGAGCAATGTTGCCCCCACCTCCTCTCCTCAGCTTGCTGGAGAAATATTTCAGGAGGTGATTTCGCTAACCAAGACGGCCATTATCAATCACACGCTTAAGTTGGTAGCTTTCATGTCATTTTCTTTCGGACTCATTCACGCGCGAATGAAGCGATCCCCTATAATTGATTGCGTAGACGCATGTCGAATAACAACTCTGTAATAATGCCTAGAAGTTGAGAGTAGTTAATTACTGGCCACTTCAGAATGCGTGACGGCGTCACATTTATGATTTTAAAAAGGAAGAAAAAACTATTGGAAGAAAGGACATAAAAGATTTCCTACTACTCATTTTCAATGAGAGCACGCAATAAACACGTTGTAGATAATTAAAATACAATTACAATCAGACTATTGTCTAACTAGGAATAAAAATATTTGTAAATGTCATAGCTAACTTTCAAATCTATTCTGGAACCGTGTTACTTTCCCTTCATTTCCCAGGCTGAACTCTTACTCTAGAAATATCAAAAAGGAAAGCAACTGATAAAAAAAAAAATCAGTAGCTTTTTAATTAGAACTCAAGTTCCCAATTGTCATGGCCAACTCTTGAAAACAACTCCACAGACTCCTTCCAACGAGGAAGAACCAAAATCAAAATGACATGTGAACAGGTCCAAAAACAGAGGTAGATGATAAATCTTGTTGACCAACCAACCACAAAATAAAACCAAAGTCAAAAATAGACAGCCTGCCTTTCAAAACTTTCAACACAACCAAAATTAATGCCAACCATCCAAACTCCATCACCTTCCTCTTTGCTCCATTTAATTCAATAACACACAAAGTCATGACCCAAGATAACAACATCCAACCGCCTGCAGCTTCTCTTCACCTCATACTTTTAAGCCCATAACAAAGAAAAACAATATGCAAAAATACAGGTCACATTAGCACACCAACTTCTTGTTGAACATCTCTCAGGGTTCACATAATAGTAACAAAACGAAAATTTTAGCAAAACAAGGGCCACATTTTTCACATAATATTTACAGGCATGAACCCCACCATCTCTCCTTGAATTTCCCCCCAATACATACAAAAGCTCCAATATATCAAAAAAAACAAAGAGCCAGATAAAAAGAATCATCATCAGATAGTACTAAAATGAAAAGGGCACAAGAAAAAAAAAACAAAGCCAATCTTGTAAAACCCCCACCCATAATCAAAGGAATTGCCTGTTTTGGATCTCACAAACATGCACACATTGATCTTTTTCCACCCTCATCTGATAGGCTCATTCGTTACTTGCAAGGATCCATCTTTCATTAGCTTCAATACACACATTTCCATAACACCTGTTTTTTTTTCTTTATCTGCTCTGCTCATTCTTCACCTGCAATGATCCATCCTTCATCAGCTTCAAGCTGAGGCTATTGAATCGCTCCCGAGAGTACTGCCTTGAAGCCTTTCTCCAATCTGTGCCGGCCTTCATCATTGCTGCAAACTCCTCGTAGCTGATTTTCCCATCCTGTTGTAGGCCAAAAGCCAAAACATACTTAAAATGCTGAAATTCTGAAAGATAAGTTGGGGCTACTTTTGATATACCATGTCCGAGTCATCTAAGGCACTAGATTTAGGCTCTGGTACAAAAGGGCATGGGTACAAATCCCACAGCTACTCACTATTATTTGATTACCGTAGCAGAAAATTGATGGACTTGCGAATATACACTTAGCGATAGGATAATGAAGTATGGGAGGTTAGAGGTTGCTCATATCGAGAATAAAATGAGAGAAAAATGACTGAAATTGTTTGACCATGTGTAACGGAGTAGAATTAAGTGTAACATCATAATTACTGCAGTAAGGAGTAGAAATATAAGCATAAGAGAATTTCGTTAGAAGCAACGGGAGAAGGAATGGATGGTGTAGAAAAAAAGAAATCACGTAGTCAACCAAAGAATTTGAAATAATGGCTTTATTCCTGTTGTATGCAATGATTATTTCTCTAAATAGTTTTGCAGAAAGTCTGTAAAAGTATTAAATCTAGAAAATAAATGCAAGGGAGATGAAGCGTTCGGATACCCTTTAGGGGAAAAAAAAGTGATCATAAGTTTATAAGATCACTGACCTTGTCTGTGTCTACATCGCGGATGATTGCGTTGATGACTTCCTCATGGTTTAGACCCATGTCATCAGCTAGGGATTCCCTCAGCTCATCAATCTCTATATATCCGCTCTTGTTCTGATCGAAGTAAGTGAAGGCTTTGTGCAGATGGTCATCGTTTCCTATTTTTCTGAGATGAACTGATACGGCAACAAATTCTCCATAATCTAGTGTCCCATTTCCATCCACATCAGCCTGACATTGAAACAGTAGATCAGCTTCAAGAGCTTATTGCCAACAAAATAACTACATTATTATATCATGTAAGAACGATAGATACTAAACATCGTGACAAGGATGCAAAATGACAAAATTACATGGCAAAAAAATGCATGCTCTCATTTAACTGAGAAAATGGTTGTCAAATGACAGAACTTTGCATTTAGTCCTGAATTTTGAGTTAAATGTGACATGCATTCAAATATGTTGTTGACAAGATAGTTTATAGTTAAGGTTCGTACACTGAACACTACACAAGCACTAGTAACAAATGAATCAATGGTAAAAATACATTCAGGTTTGGGTACTTACAGCATCCATTAGAATCTTAACATCTGCATCTGGAATCTGGTGGCCAAGCTTGTGCAGACCAAATTTCAATTCTTCTAGAGTTATCTTGCCATGGTTGTTTACATCCATCTTTGAAAACATATCCTTTATGTCTGCTACTTCTTCCACCGATAAGTGTTCAGCAATCACCTGCAATAAGTTCCAAATATTATAAGCTGTTCTTGTTCAAGAGAATGATGGAATTGGCTAATTTTATAAACAGGCATGTAGCCATAATCTTACCCTAAGAGCTCTCTTCTTCAGTTTGTTCATCATAGAGAATTGTTGGAGTCTAGCTTTAACAGTCTCACCTAGATTGACATTAGGTGCCTTTTTGGCATTCTGCAACCAAGGATGATCTGCAATTAAACATACCAAATGCTCAGTTATATACAGACAGAACCCAAATGTTAGCAAAGAAAAATGCCAGATTTTTTTTTTTTTAAGAGCCAGGGACTCAAAAAAGAATACTTCATTTAATTGACATAATGCAAGTGCTGATCATATAAAGTCACTTAGGAGAATAGTATAACTGAATTGGTCCCCAGTAGTAGGAAACATAACTGCATTCATCATCAATTTTTGAGTTACTCCATTGGAGCACCAACAAGATGAATAATCAATAATCAGACTCATCGTTTGTCAAGCATATTTGTAGTTACTAAACTTATGCAATACTTGTGAAAACAAAATACCTGGCTTTCCACCATATATCTTAAAACTTGATAGTTGATACATGATTGAAAAGGAATAACTAGTAGAAATTTACCGAGCACTTCCTGGGCGGTCAATCGCCTCTTTGGATCAGGATCAAGCATTCTCTTCACTAGATCTTTTGCATTATCAGAAACCCTAGGCCACGGATCTCTCTTGAAATCAATTACAGAACGAATGATGGCTTGTGCAACACCTTGTTCAGTTTCTACATAAAATCAACAATTTACAATCAATCTAAGATAAATTCACATCTATGAAAGAACCCCCAAGTTCCCAAGTATTAAAATATTTACCTGCCCAAAATGGAGGCACACCACAAAGCAAGATATAGAGGATGACTCCAGCGCTCCAAACATCGACCTCAGGCCCATAATTCCTCTTTAAAACCTCGGGCGCCATGTAATAAGGACTACCCACGATCTCAGTAAATCTCTCACCTACAACAGAACCCAAAATTCAGCTTTAAAAAACATAGAATTGTTGAATATAACAAACACACACACACACACACACACACACACACACACACACATCAAGTAACAAGCTGAAATTATACCAGGCTTGAAGAACACGGATAACCCGAAATCAATAGCTTTGAGAGCCGCATTCTCCTTCTTGTTCGCAAATAAGAAGTTCTCCGGCTTGAGATCTCTGTGCATAACCCCGTGTTTGTGGCACATCTGAACCCAAAGTAACAAATTTTTAGATCTACAAGCTAAAGATTCAATCTTTTTTCTGTCCAGAGCTAACAAAAACAACAAAGCCTTCATCTTGAAATTTTAGAGTCAACTACATGAATCCTATTTTCCATTAAACTCTGTTATGAGCCATTTCCTCTGTGAACATAATTGTCATGACATGTTTCTTAATTGTACTGGGAAAACCAAGTTCTTGCAGATCAACCTCGGTCCTCTCTGCATTAGTAACCAAAAAAGAACCATACTAAATATGATCTTCTCGCTCCTCCTGCCTAGTGTTTAGTGGTCTTCATTGTTCAAAGACCAAACCATCTTAATCAATTCTCACTCGTTTTACCGGTCTTCATTTTGTTTTATTGTCCTCCATAGAGAGGGGAGACAGTTTTCAAGACAAGGGTATTTCAACAGGTGGAACTTTTCAAAACTTCGGAGGAGTTTCGAGAAATTCTGCAAAGTTTTGGAGGGTTATCTCTGATTTTTAAATTTCATGGTCGTTTTGTTCAGTTCATCAAATCTTAGTGGGCTTCTCATAACTATACCATCTTTGTTCAGTCAAAATCTAGATGAAATTAAAAAAAAAATTCAAGAACATCTCACCTGCACGACCTCGACGATGGTCCCCGTAACCACTGCAGCAGCCCTCTCGGTATAATGGCCCCTCGCAACAATCCGATCGAAAAGCTCTCCACCCTCACACAACTCCATAACAAGATGAACAGCACTATCATCCTCATACGTGTCCTTCAGACTCACAATATTAGGATGCGGCGGCATCGACCTCATAATCTCAACCTCTCTTCTTACATCCTCAATATCAACAGCCGTCCTCAGCTTCTTCTTCGATATCGATTTGCAAGCGAGGTGCTCGCGAGAGTCTCGGTCAGTGCAGAGGTAAGTTACCCCGAATTCTCCTCGGCCGAGCTCGTTGCCGAGCTCATATCGAGCTTCAATGTCACGGCCCGTGGGATTCTTGAGGACGGTGAGCTTGGGGGCGCCGACGCCGACGCCGGCGGATTTGTTGTATTGGATGGAGAAAGGGTTAGGTTTCTTGTTCTTTCGATTCTTGGGTGGGCGCTCTGAGGGGTCTACTGGCGAGGCGCAGCAATTACCCATGATTAAAAATTGGATTTTGGAGAGGGATTGAGGGGAAAGGTTGGATCTTGTAGAGAAATTAGAAGGGTTAGGGTTAGGGTTTGGATTTTTATCGGAGAGGAAAAAGGGGTCAAAGCTGGATCCAGGCTTTTTCTACGGGGAGAGGCTTTGGGGTAATGAAATCAAAGGAGATTTTTTTTGATAATCTTACCTTTTTTTTTATGTTTTTAATTCCTATAATTTTCTAACCCTTCTCTCTCTCTCTACCCCTCTCTCGCTTCCCCCCGAAGAAAAGGGGGATAAAGAGGAGAGAGAAGAAAGGGTTGATTTTTTTTTTTTTTTTTGAATTTTTTAAATTGAGGGCATACAAAATACAACTTCTTTTGGATATGGGAATCAGTTCACACGACTTTCTTTCTCTTTTTTTTTCTTGTTAGGGTTAAACTTGGTAATTGAAAATTATTTTAGATGAAAAATGACTTTTTACAACTCATCTTTTCATTGCACGGATCATATTCTAGAACACTAGGCAAAAAATGAGACTAGTAATAGATGTTTACTTCATTTTGATACGGCTGAAAAAAATTGCTCGGAGATTGATGAATTCACGAAAATTTAAGATAATATACAATTATTGTTTGAAATATACGTGCACTAGTAGAAACAAACAATATAAAAAGGCTATGATGAAATTTTCAACCATTACATAAATAAACACTAATACTATTTGGATTTAATGGATATGAAATGACGGCTTATTTAGTAAAATGAGCCAGTAGAAGATAGTATAATGATGTCCATAACTTTTGATATGACTCTTAGAATGGGCCTCACCAGTGGCGTAGCCAGAATTATTTTTTGCTCTGGGCGAAAAATAAAGGTGGTCTATGAGTATGTCGTGAGGGAGATGAGGGAGGCGCGGGCCGGAGAGGGAGGAGGGCTGGAGATTGTTGAGATGGAGGTCCTGGAAGAGGAGGGAGTAGAGGTTGGATCTGTAGGAGAGGGAAGTGAAGTGAGGGGAGAGGAGGGGAAGCAAGGGGAGGAGGGAGAGATCGTGGGAGAGGCGGAGTTTCTTGCCTTGCCCTGGGCAGCTGCCCAGGGCAAGCAAGCTCTGGCTACGCCCCTGCCTCACCATACGATATCCCTTTGTAGTTCATTTAGCAAAATGAGCCACCATTCCATACTAATTATTTCCATATTACTTTTTTAACATTTAAAGCTCTTTAACTATCATAACTCAAATTTGCATCTTGCAATGTAAAAAACTGAAAATGAAGAGTTTGAACCAATGTCCTAATATATCATTTGCAAGTTTATTTACGGTATACAAAGATATAAGCTAAATTATCAATTTGGTATATTTAATAAGATCGTTGTACCAATTTGGTATTTCTTTCTAAATTCGAGGATGATGATATCTTAAAAGTGAATTCAAGATGTAATTAGTCTCATTTTCTGACTGTCAACGAAAAAAATCACGGGGAAATATCACATGAGCTCACATGATTAATTTGAGGGATAGTAGGATGCTAATGTGGCTAGCTTTAACTTTAAGTGACTTGGCTACGATTATTTAACGTGACATATACATAGAAAGTTTAACTGACCATAAAATTATTAAATTCCCTCATATTCAAAATTCCATGAGAAAGAAAGGAAGAGAGATTGCACTTCAGTAGCAATCATAAAAAAATTTCTAGATCTCTTTGCGGTTTTGTTCCATCTCCTAATACCTGTTATTGTTGAAACCATACTTAACTTTTTGATTCAATTCAGATTTTTCCCCCTTGTTTAATTTAAATTAGAGCTTGAAAAGGGCATAATGGTGTTTTTGCTAATCTGAGGATGATTACTTAATATGGGATTGAAAATTGGGCCTTTTGAATATGAGTCCTGATTTTTATTTCAAACCTAATTTTGAGAAGCATGTGACAATCACATGATCTCATGTAACACTGCGAAATCTTTTACTCTTGCCCATGTCAGCTTCTGACTCATCAAGAAAGGAGATCAAGAAAGGAAATCATGTGACGTCACATGATGTTTCGTGTAAATTTTTTGGTCAACAATGGGAAAATGAGGCTAATTGCATATTGGGCTCACTTTTAATATCTTATTATTATCGTCTGAATTTTACAGCTAGGAACGTTTAAGTGGATGGTATTTAAGTGCAACTTAGCCTGAAACTTTTATACATTAAATGTAATTTAATATGTTTAGCTAAGAAAAAAATAGCTAATTTAACTAATATAAAAGTATGTATTTGGTTATCTTACTAGTAATGATTCAGATATAAATTTGATATTTTCCAAGATTATACGTAACTATGTCTATATGTATAAATAAGCAAAAGGCAAAACTTGAAGGTATATATTAAAAAACAATATTAATAAATTTACCCTTTCAAGATACTAAACAACTTTAAAGGTAATTTTCACGACGACCTATAAAGTTATGCAGGGAGATAATTTTTTCCAATAAAAATTAAGGTTCACATTTTTGAGAGTTTTCTTGATAATATAAAGTTAAAGGGGGATTTCTGATAACCCTTAAATGTTGGGAATTTAACGCCTAAACCCCTAATGCAACAGAAACGCAGTATAGAAAAGTACACCAAGATTTACGAGGTTCGGCAACTGCCTACGTCCTCGGGAGCCACACAGATAATTTCTTATTAATCAAACAAGAAATTACAATTTAGGAGCAGATCTCAAAACTGAGATTTCTCAAATAAACACTGTAGCTACAGTGTTAATAATTAAAGGGTATGAACCCTTTCAATTCTCACTTGAGAATAAATACCCCACAATTAAAACCCCCTCTTTAAATCTCTCTCTCTTCTAAATCTCTTTTCTTAATCTCCCCTTAAGATTCTCAAATCCTAAGCGCTGGAGAAAGAGGGAAAACGCAGCTGCGTTTTTAGGGTTCCGCCGCCAAAGGAACAATCGGAGGAGAGGGGGAAGCATCAGCACCGAAACCCTAGGGCCAAGGGGGGCTTTTATAGGCGATGAGGATGGGCTGGCGACAGCCTGTCGCCAGCTGCCCGCGGACGCCAAAGTCGGGCGAACGCAGAGGTCGGACCCCCCCCAAAACGCAGAGCTCGCCATCGCCAAACGCCTCTCCTGTGTGGCTCCGCCCTCATCATCTATGCATGAAGGCCAACTGAAGTTGCACACAACTCCAGTTTCTGAAGGGTCGCTGCCCTTGTCAACATATCCGCTGGATCCTTTCTTCCTTGGATATTCTGTTGAAATCCTTTAACAACTCGTCGGGCTCTGTATCTTCTGGAACCACCCTGTCCCTTTTTCACTCGATACACCCACTTGTTGTGACATGCCTTCTTCCCCATGGGCAACTCAGCTAGTCCCCATGTCTGGTTGGAGATCAGAGATTTCTTCTCTTCTTTCGCAGCAAACTCCCACTTGCTCGCATCTCCACTCTGACAAGCTTCATCAAAGCTTTCAGACTCTCCTCCATTTGTCAGCAACATATAATTCATGTATCTGCTGTTAGGCACAGGAGGACGAGTACTTCTCCTTAACATCGGAGCTGGTGCGTCGGGCTTCTGCGCACCATTCTGTCCAACAGTCTCTTCTGGCTGAGGATCTTCTGCATTGGGTTCTTCCGAGAGGTTATCCGGAACATCATCTGCATCTACAAATGTTGACTCGCTCTCTGAGTCACCGTCTTCTGTCTTGTGCATGTCCTTGTACATCACCTTCTCGTTGAATGTCACATCTCTGCACCTGATCACCTTCTTGTTTTCGTTGTCCCACATGCGGTAGCCGAACTCGTCTTCACCATACCCGATGAATGTGCATTTCTTTGACTTGGGATCAGGCTCATTCCTGCCTTGATCACTTATATGCACATAAGCTACACAACCGAAAACTTTGAGATGTGAGAGGGTTACCTCCTTTTCGCACCATACCTCTTCTGGTATTCTGTGCTCCAATAGAACCGATGGATCCCGGTTGATCAAGTAAGCTGCTGCGTTGACTGCCTCTGCCCAGAACTGTTTCGGCAGACCTGACTGCGTCCGAATGCTTCTGGCTCTCTCTGTCAACGTTCTATTCATGCGCTCAGTCACACCATTGTGCTGAGGCGTGCCGGGCACGGTCCTCTCCATTCTGATACCGTGCTCATAGCAGAACTTCTTGAATCTGGTGTCTTCATACTCACCACCATTGTCTGTTCTGAGTTTCTTTACCCTCAAACCGGTCTCATTCTCGACCATGGCTTTCCATCTTCTGAAAGCCTCAAACACTTCTGACTTTTTCTTCAGAAAGTAGACCCATACTTTCCGAGAGTGATCATCAATAAAAGTCACGAAGTAGTGTTTCCCACCAATCGACGCGGTGGTTGTTGGTCCCCAAACATCCGAGTAAACGAGCTCTAGCTTCTGCTTCCTAGGGGGTCCGCCACTTGTCTGAAAGCTGACTCTCTTCTGCTTTCCAAGTATGCATTCTTCACACATATCAATCTCTACTGATTGTAAACCTGGGAGTTTTCTTTTTGTGTGCATAACCTTCATCCCCTTTTCACTCATATGACCGAGTCTCTGGTGCCACAGCTTTGAAGTCTCATTGCCTGCCGCAACTGAGATCGAACAACGTGCACCCGCTGTCATATACAGGGTACCAGTCTTCCTGCCTCTGGCAATCATCATTGCGCCCTTCGAAATCCTCCAGTCATCGCCATGAAAAGTCGTCTTGTAGCCTTCACTAGCCAGCTGGCTTACTGAGATTAAGTTCCTCTTCAGGTCGGGAATATACCTGACATCCTTCAGCTCCCATACTGACTCATTCAGCTTAATCTTCACTACACCTTTGCCAATAATGGCACATGCTTGATCGTCACCAAGATATACATTTTCAAGGTTTCCGGGGATATACTTCTCGAGGAATTCTTTCTGAGAAGTAGCATGGAATGATGCTCCCGAGTCCAACACCCAAGACTCCTCCTTGCTCTCCAAAGAGCATATCAGCGCATCATCTCCTCCTGAGGTGGAGGCAACGTTCACATCTGCATTTGCCTCCCACTCCTCCCGTGCACTCCTGCACTGATTCTTGTAGTGCCCGGTTTTCCCGCACTTCCAACACTCGATAGCCTTCGAACTGTTGGGATTTCTGGATTTGGATCTCCTATCATCTGATCCATTTCCTCTGGTTGAACTTTTACCTCTTGACTCTGTATGCAATACTGAAGAGGTTGTAGCTTCACCCGACTCTCTCCGTCGGATCTCCTCACTGAGAACCAGATCACGAACGTCGTCAAACTTCA